TGTCACTAATTCACTTAGTATCACACCATTTAAATTGTGGTTTGCCTGTCCTGTCACAGCTTTGATAAGGTAAAAGGAACTGGTTATGAAGCAGATATGCAGGTCTGCAATAACTTAAACGTGAACTGAAATCACAGGTTCAGTTTAGACCTTTTTACTATCCTTGCATATTCTCTCTGTCACTTTAAAATGTCCTAGAGAGGAAGAAGGAAATATGTAAAATAATCATTTTTTCCATGTTCAATGTCCACAGCTTAATCAATCTTCCATTAAGAAATCTTTTCATAATTCAATTTGATTTATTAAAAATGTGAATGCTTCCCAAACAAATTTGAGCAGATGTGGGGATTGACAGTCAAGTGCATTTGTGACTCAAATTGAGTTCCTTATTCAATCACATTATTACTGGTTAAAGCTTGTAAAATAGTATTGAAGAGCGAAGTCTCTGCTCTACTGGTTAAACCCTTGCATGCTTTGAAGAATGATGAATATTTACAAAATATAAAGTTGATTTAAGTTGCAGAGACCACCTAATTTGTTGAACACCTTACTAGTTGCCTCTATGTCGTCATAGTTTCCACAAGAGGATTATTCAGAGCTGCTCAGCTGTATTAATCTCTTCCAATTTTACTAGCATCTCAGGGTCCTTGGGCCTCCCGCAGCCCGAAGTACAACAGCTGCCTCAACATGAATTTACCACAGTTTGGCAGCAGAGTGAGGAAGAAAATTGGGTGGATATAAAAATGGTAGTTTTGTCCTCAGTTTTTTAATATTTTAAGGATAAATACAGGGTCTTCTACTAATGTATCAGCTGCCCTTAGCTAGCTGTCTTTCATTTGTCGTGGTGATCATAAGAGTCTTTTGTAGGAAAGCCCAGTTAAGCAATATGTCTGACTATGTTAGCAAGGCTAGATCCATTGTCCTGGTCTCTAGGGAAGAAGGAATCAACCAAACAAAAAAACCCCTCGCAGTCAACTTCTACAAAGAACTGATCTTAAAAATTAAGCTCCTGAATTCATATTTAAACAATTAACTCTTTGGCTTCCAAAACTGCAAGCAACAAACCATTCTGATTTGAAGTCTGCATGATTTGTGGAGAGTGGGGTATTTCTGTAAGCCAGGACAACTGGTGTGCTAGGTTATACGAGCCGTGTGTCAGCTTCACCTTTTTCCTTTAAGTTTGCTGGTGTTGCTGGAAGGTGGTAATCACAGGCAATTCATCTTTATTTAGGCACAGGGCGGAGGGGGGAATGAAGTTTTCTTTATTGATGGAAAACTGCTGAAAGTTTGTCCTCGTTATAGGCTTTAGGGTAAGGTCCAGGTCCACTAAGGCAAATATCAGCACAGTCTTCCAAATCAATTATTAAAGTGTCTTCATTATGTCTTTTTTCCCCCAGCAATGAGATTGCCATTCATTGTTTTATGATTCTATCTCATTGATCTCTGCACTGAAAAGCCATAAATGTGCCAATGAGTCTGTGCAGAGGATCTCTGTTGTGGCTTGGGCTAGGACCACCCACTGATTTCTCCTGAGCAAACCAGTAGCTGTCAGATAGCACCTTTTCATTAGCTACCGACCTGGACTGGATATGAACTGATGACCAACAGGTGAAAGGTATTTTGTATCCCATTATTAATCCTCAGGGACGTCAAATCCTTCCATTAAAATATTATGAATAACTTTTTTATCCTTCAAATGTCTGCTGTCAAGCAGTTGCAAACTTACATGTTTTGCTTTGTAAAATTGCCAAAGCATGTGGTTGTGCATATACAACTGCATACCCTGCTGCTGGAAGTTGGGAGCTTTCCAGTGGCTCTCAATGCCTGCATTTGTATGGGCCAATACACATAACGGTGAACATGCACACAAAATGCCTTCCTGCCCCCAAATCAGTATTTTTCAGCTGTTTAAACAATTATTTGGATTTTCTTTAAAAGTTAGAATTTTATTCCCTTATGCCATGTGTTTTATTTAACACTGAAAATGTACAGTGGGAAGGGACGAAGACAGGGATTGCCATCTTAATCTGACTACACGGTGTGTACATTCTGTTATGGTAGTTAAAGTGTACATTGGATAGCTGAAAAAAGGTGATAAATGCTAAATTTAATTGTGAAATAGTCTGATTCTGTCAAGTGATTGAATTTTATATCATTTGACACAAAAATAATGTGTATTAACTCTATGCTGAGGTATTGACAATTTAGCAGCAGACAGATGGCACCAAAGGGGACATTTTAGATGGTGTGATGCAAAGCTCCTCTGCAAGGCATGCCGTTCTGCAAGACAATGCTTTTATTATTTTTTAAAATTTTTGACAAATGTGAATAAATTAAGATAGTGGCCAACATGAACAAACAGAACTGTGCTGATCGTTTGTAGTCAGATCATTTTATGTCTTGGGTAATATAATGTAAGATTTTTCTCCCCTTTATCTGTTAATGAGTATTTGAGCCTGTTAGTATCACAGTCATTCCTTTGATGCTATGTATGTTGGCACCTGTCATCATTATGTACTCCAGGTCTCCTGACTGGCCTGAACTTGAGTGCAATATGCCATTTGGAAAGTGCCAAAAAGAGTAGAGCAGTCATGTATTTTTTTGTGATCCCAGTAAATGAAAATTAATCGTGTTTGACAAATGTTAGTGGCCTTATAGTCATAGTTCTGTAGGCAGAAGCTACGTATTTTGTGACTCTGTTCAATGAACTGTCCTTTTATGTTCTAGAAATAGACACAGAGTGCAAACAGCTAAAACTAATGATGTTAGTGTGTTAAAAAAAGCAATGATGCAAAATCTGTGGATGTTAATTCTGTCAGTATTAGTGATACATATGCTTGGTGCCTGTCACTTTGAAGCCTCAAGGCTGGACTTACGTATGTTGTGGTAACTTTTGCCAGCGTAAGAATGCCAACCTTGAGTTAAATGTGCAAACTTCAGTGTTTAATTATCCCCCCACCCCCCCAATTATTTTAATTGGAATAATTATTTTATACTGACCCAAATTTACATTGTGATTTCAATTGCAGATTATTTTCTTCTTCACTTTTTGCTCTCAACTGTGGTTGTATGCTATTTAAAAAAAATAAATTGCATTTAATCTATAGATGTGTCTTTACTGCACTAGTAGATGGGGAAAAATCAGTCTGGGTGACGTAATTTTTTTTTGTTTTGTGGGTTTTGGTTTTTTTAAAAAAAAGAGGGATGAGAGACACTGTCATATAAGATAGCGTACTCTATCGTGTAGTTGCACCATTTGATTGACAGGAGCCTTGTGCCATGTGGATATGATTTTAAGGTATACGAGTTTACCAAAGAAAGTTTACTAAATAATAAGGCTAAACTCTTAATGCCAATGAACATTCATTTTGTGAAACTGGAATATTGTAAATGATAAGCCTGCTTGTATCTCTGCCAGGATGATCACTTGGAAATACGACCTCAATGTTGGTTTTGATGGAACCTGGTCTTGATATAATTCTTGGTGTGCTGCAGAACTTCTTTCTCTCTCTTTATTTTATTGTCTCTAAGGCCCTTGAGGGAAATACTGAGAATCTGGAGCAGCTGTAATCATGAACAGACCTTGTTATTATTCCTATGTTAACTTGTGGGATAGTGCGGGATGTATGTGATGTCTGGTTCCAGACCGCAAAACTTGAGAAGGCCTATATGCTTGTATCTGTGAAATAACACTCAAGGCAACCTTGAGAGGTGCAGACCACAATGCCTTTCTTCCACAGTGGTTAAGCTTAACTGTTCTTTGTTCTGGAGGCCTTCTGTTTTATAACACAAACCGCAGTAACTAATTTCATGGGGATAGGGATAAACAGGTCACAGGTATCTTACTGAATAGCTGATGATGATTAGTGTTTGAGTATCAGACTAGGCTAATGCAATATTGCTGTTTTCTTCATGAAAAGAGTAATGACCACTAATGGATCTACTCTGGCACTTATATACCATAATGCAACTTTAGTGGCTTGGTGATTTCAGTGATAAGAAAATCTGTGGTTCAGAACATGTCTGTTCTCTTTACCATCATTTCTGTTGTTTTCTGGTGTTTTTTTTTTTCCTGACCATTTTGTCATACCATTGTCTTTAAAAATTACCTTTTCTATTATGTTTTATGGTTGACAGAATTGATTTGTGTTGAAATCTTACTTCCCACATTAAAATCAGAAATATTTTCTATTTATATACCTTCGTTTGTGGTGACTTTACTGTTGGCAGTGTATATAGTGTTATTTAGGACACAAGGAAAATGGAATGAAACTGTGTCAGGGGAAGTTCAGATTGGACATTAGGAGAAGGTTCTTCATTGAGAGGATGGTCGGTCCCTGGAACAGGCTCCCCAGGGAAGTGGTCACAGCACCCAGCCTGTCAGAGCTCAAGGAGCATCTGGATGACAACCTTAGTCATATGGTTTAGTTTTAGGTAGCCCTGCAAGGAGCAGGGAGTTGGACTCGATGATCCTTATGGGTCCCTTCCAACCTGAGATATTCTATGATTCTATGATTTCATAGAACCAAAACCTGTTTTTCCTTTCACCCTCCTCCCTCTTTTTTTTTTTTTTTTTTGTTGTTGTTGTTTAAGAGCATGACTAGAGCTCCCTCCTACCTTATCTTCTGCTTTTAGCTTGGGTCTGTGTAATGCTTATCCTGATGCCTGTCCAGAAAAGTAGCATGAAGCTTAATGTTCACCCAAAGCCCTTTACCATACTCTTTGCAGTACATTTCTACCATTTCCTTACTTCTTGGACATTGACGATGTTGGACACATTTCTTCCTCAGTCTGGAGATTTGCAGCATGAAGTAGCTGACCACAAAACTTACTGTAACAGTTAAACATTCATGTTTAGTTAGATTAAGTGTAGTGATAATAATAGTTGTTTTTCTCTAGTGCCTGGAATTTGGAAATTGTAACTGTACATGATCGCTCCATGGTGACATGCTGTTAAAATAATTTTTCCCCCTTTTTTCTTTTTGCTTTTTTTTTTTAAGGGACGCAAGAGTGAGGCAGAAAAGTACTTCGTGAAAGCTATTCAGCTGGATCCTACCAAAGGAAACTGCTACATGCATTATGGTACGTTTCAGATAGATAGGGTTTCCACACGTATTCCAGGCTTGCTGTTAATCTTTCCGAGTGATTAAGGATTTGAAAAGTGCTACTGGCAAAATATCTTCTTTAAAGGGAAAGAAACTAATCTACCATGTATAACTTCACCTCCATTTCAATTTGTTAATCACTGCAGAAGGAGAGGTGAAGATTTTCATATTTTGCATAACTTTCCTCCTGTGAGAGGAATTTCAGTATTGCTGCCTCTCTGGGAAAGAAAAAAGGTGACTATTGCCATATGTCAAAGTTTCATGGCCTGGAATATTATTATTAAAAGTTTTGGCCTAACTTTGCTGGCTGCTGCTGGGTGCGCAACTAGAAGTTATAATTTAGTGTGTGTGAGTTCTATATATCGAAGTGTCTGGTTTTTGTTGAAGACTTACGGGCCTTATATCTACCTCCTTCCCAGCATCTTCATGGCTTGAAATGGATAAATATTACAAAAGGTTTTGACAAGTTGGCTATATCTTTGTCATACTAAGCCATGCATGTGCATAAAGCACACTGTTAATTTGAAGGTATCTTTATAACTTTGGATTGTTTTTGCTAGATGTGCAAAAAATATTTCCAGATGTGATTAGTCTCAAGGAGCCAAAAATATTTAACTTTACAGACTAATTCTTACTGCATTTTAGAGCTGATAATAGACAAATCTAAAAATGCAAGCTATGTAGTCCCAATTGGAAAATATAGAAAGAAGTAATAAATTTCATCTTAGTTAAGGAAGAAGGTAGGGAACCACAAGCATACTATATACATCTTTGTATATTGTTTTAATTTCCTATTCTGATTCTAACTGGTAAATGTAAAATAAATAAAAATGAGTGACCAAAAGGGAAAATTAATCTCACATAATAACCATATTTTTACTTGGTGTGATGTCTTTGTCTGAATTGCTCACACGTTATGTTTCTGTTTGGTCCTATGCAGTTTAAATTTCTGTATGTTAGACTCCCAGAATTGATGCACACATTGTTACTTAGAACATGTCATAGTATTTAAGTGAATGTAGCCCAGTGTTGCATTATTTTGGATTATGGATCACTGCAGTTAGTGACCTTGTCTTCTATTTATGCCTGTACAGGTAAATCTGATAGGGGTATTTGTGCACATAAGCTCCATTATTTCAGTTGGATATAAGTATAGTTGATATCTCAAGATAATGAGGAAAAGTTGCAGCAGATTGTTTCTTGAAATCCTACTCAAACCCCTTCCAGCCTTTGTTATTAAGAAATCTATCCTTAGTTATTAGGAAATCTTATTTGCATACAAATTCAAAGGTAGGTCTCAACAATCCATCCTGGCAATTGAAGTTATGATTGTACATATTTTATTACAGATCTAGATTTTTCCTTTTTCCCTCTCATTACTTTACCAACTTGCCTATCTTTTCCTGCAATATTCTCTGTGTCATTTTCAAGTGCTCTATAAACTAAAAGCAAGATTATTCAAATCATCATTAATCTCTGATGTGTTGACTTCTTCACTACTAGACTGCAACATTAAAATGATGTGTTTTTTCCTAATTAAGATTATTCTCTAAAAACTTTAGTAAATTTTTCCTTTATTGTGTCGCAGGTTCAAAAAGTGGTTTCTGTGTCCTTGTGCAGAGGTCGTTATTGCAACATAAGTCAGATTCTGCTCAGCAGATTAGGAGTGAAGAGCAAAATTTAGTCAGTGTTTGGATAGTCAGCATAGTAAAATGGGATGCTGAAGGGCTGTAGACACAAGAAGGTTCTCTATACCAGTCACTAGGTTTCTGTCATGGAGTATTATACACAGAGAGCTCTACTGAATGCAGGTGAAACCTTTTATTTTGATTGTATAACGTCTGATCACCTCACCAAATTCAGTGACATTACTCCATGTTTATATCAGAGTAGCTATGAGAAACATATGGTTTACTTCTCCTCGGCTTGTGTGTCTATGTAGTACAGGTGATCTCAAAACCTTGTCACTTCGGGCACAAGACTTCTTAAAATTTGAAATAAATTATCCTTGCTTTTCTTTCTTTCCCTTTTCCCTTTCTTTTCTTTTTCCCTTTCTGTCCCTTTTCACTTCCACCTATTTCTTTTATTGATCAGGATTCTGTAGTGTATCTTACCAGGGACATTCCAATTACACAGGAATCTCTAGTGAACACTTTAAGCCTTATCTCTACATCTCATTAATTTGTTTTAGCACCTTGTCACAGGTACAGTCTATATCGTATATGCCAAGCGTTAAACTGTGAGGAAATACAACTGTATTTTGCATGTAAATCTTAGAGATTACTTTTTTCTCAGCATGAAGGTGTTGGAACAGAGAATAAAATGGTTGGCATGAGCCCTAAAAAACCCACATACTTCATGGAACAGCCAAATAAAAAAAGTGGTCAGTTGGGACACAACAGTGTGTTGATGGAGTAGCAGGAATAAATGGACCGAAGATTTTCTTCCAAGTGCACGTGGATGCATGCACTTCTAATTTGTGCTCCCAGGATGTGCAGATGTTCTTTTTCACTTCTAACCTTTTGGACTTTTTTTGGAGCTCTCAGGAAAAACTGTCAATGAACTGTGTCTTTTAAGAGATTTGTATTATAATGTGCTTTAATTCAAGCCTTAAGCCAAAGCTCTGCTTAGATATGATTTGGTGCAGGAGTCAGCTTATTTGATCCCATGAAAATTTGGCGAGAGGTGAACACTTTCATGGTTGCTTCTTGGATAATACCACGACCAGACATTTCTCTGATTGAGCTAGTGCTATAATTAGTTTCATATAGGTAATTTGCTGGCTTTGGATTTCAGTGGATTTTTAGGTTTAAAGCAGTGTTTCTCAAACTCATTATGCTTGGAGATGTTTGAAGGGAGAACTAGTGGAAAAACTGAAGAGAGATAAATCCCTGCACACTGCTGACATGATGCCACTTCATTGGCCATAAGGGGAAGTGGCTTTTACCCTCGTGACCAGAGAGGGTGGCAGTCCCCTCTCAGGCAGAAATGCAGGCAGCTTCTCAGCTGTCCACATTTTCCTCTTCCCTTCCCCCTTCTCATATGCCAGTTACATGAACATCTGAACTTTGTGTAAAACCGTTGTCTTACGAATATGTGAGTCTTGATGGGTGATCTGCTACAAGCTACTCATGTACACGGTACACTACCAGAATCACCTTAACAGATGAAAGAGAGAATATTCGTATGAATCAGGAAGAAGAAAAAAACAGCTTGCAGAAGCACCAGTACAATTTTGTTTGGTGCTTTTTTGAATTCTCTGGCAATGAAAATATTGGGTTTGGCACAACCTACAAGTTTTTAAACTAAACCACTGGAGGACATTATTTCAGTTACTAGATTTGAATGCTCCTATAAAGTTAGAGGCTTTTAATTGGAGATTTTTAATACACCTTTTTTAAAGAAGACTTAAAGTGAACAGTTTTGACTAAATCAAGTTGAACTTCATAAATGCTTATTTATTTTTGATTCTCCATCTTTGTTTTCTCTGGGAAAGTTTTCTTCAAAATGTCTTATCCACATCTACTCAGGATATTGGCTGTCATGCATCCCACTTTACTTCAAACATTTAAGTCAAGTATGCCACTTTGGATCCTGCAAGACCTTGGTGGCTCCTGTCATCAATAAATTGAGGACATAATTGAAATATAATTGAAATGGTATCCACTGACCATAGAGGGGACACTTTCTAACCTAGTTGTCTTGATTAAATGCCTATGGTCAGGTGGGATGAATCCAAGTGTCAGTCTGAGAAACCACAGGGAGATACCTATGAACTAATCAAATCCAAAGAAATTTTTATATAAGTGTTTTAAGAACATGTTGGCATCTAAAGAGTGAGTAAGTCAAATTTGTTAACAAATGTGCCAAACATAGGAATGTTCAACCAGGTCAGACCAGTGCCATTATGGCCTAGAGTTTGTTTAGTTTGGGAGAGAGCATTGACCACCCGCAAAGGAACTAAAGATTTCCTACGTCTGCACTGAGCCTATCTCAGGAGAAGTTGAAGAAAGATTCTGTATAAAAGTTGTCAGTGCACAGACATGAGATGAATTTCAAACAGTGAAATACTTAAGTGCTTGTCTGTTTGAAAACAAACAAAAATAAATTATTTGGCATCTTTTCATTGAGATAACTAGTAGGATGCAGTGTTGTTGAGGAGTTTGAAGTTGTTGAAGGCTTTTTGTAGTAGCTTTCACTTAAACCAACCAACCAACCAACCCATAAATCTACAGTGAAATTTAAATTGTGCAAACATTTTACCTCTGAAACTGTCTTATTTCTGCTATAGTTTACTGTTCAAAAACAAAAAAACCACTAGTACAGCAGGTTTCATTTTACTTGTTTGCTAAAAATAGGTTTTGCTACCATGCCTCTTAAAGTGCATATAGTGGCCTCTCTCCAACGTAATGAAAATGGAATGGGGGAAAAAAAGATAGAGAGAAAGGAGGAGTGAGGTTTCAAGATAAATGTGTATACAGAGGTCCCTCCTCCCTTACATTAGTAATGGCTTAATTGGAATGGGGAAGTCTAGAACCCAACAGGATGTTAGAATTAACTGTGTTTTATTAATTACCATTGAGACCTCCTTTTAGAATAGTTTCCTTTGAATAACACATTGTTTCTAATAACTCTAAATTGTTTAATGATTCCTTTTTCATTATAAAAATGGATTATTCTCATTAGATTAATTATGCATTCACTTAATTAGGCAATTCACATTGATCATCTGCCTTTTTCAGTGTATTCCCAGTTACAGATCTAAAACAAAATGAAAAACATGCTGTCAGATTAGGTAAAACTGAAGTGTATTAGCTATACTGTCATTGAAGGAAGAACAGATTAGTATGTTCCCAAACATTCTAACTTTTTTTTTACGTTATCTTTTACTTCTGAATTTGTGATAATTTAGGAGTTGGTTTTATAGATTTTCTCATATTATCTTTTTTTTTTCCACAAGTTTAACTTGTTAATTGC